GCGGCGTCGCAGAACTCGATGAAAGCGGCGCCGGTGAACTCGCCGCCGTTGTCCATGCGGAAACATCCCGGAGTGCCCATGCCGTTCATGTCGGCCAAGAAGCGCTTCACGTACTTCAGCGTGTCGATCTTCGCCCGCATCCCGTACCCCCGTTGCCACCGCGATGCGCTGTCCACGAACATGATCAGGTACCGGGAGCCGTCCATCGCCTCGGTGAACGGGCCCGTGAGATCGATGTGGACCTTGCCGAACGGCACCGCCGCGCGTGTCCCACGCCGCGGCACCGGGGCCCTCCTGCCCTTCGCCTCTACACAGCCAACACATGGCTGCAGCTCCCCGACCAGCCGAACACCCTGCTGCTTGGCAGTCTCACGCATCAAAAATTCATTTACGTGGCCGGTGGAAGCGTGGAACAGGTTAATGTCGATGGTGGGCGTGGATTTTCCTACCGAAAATGGGGAAGCACCGGGGGCGATAATCGCCAACGCGTGGGAAAGAGACGGAGGGGCTGCGGCCTGCTGCTCATTGCACTCGGAAAGAAAACCGCTCAACACTTCCAAATCATCATGCTGCACAGTGAATGCAAGGTGGGGTGGATCCGCAGACTCAGCTAATTCAAGCGCATCAGGAAAAAATCACCCGGGGGGACCGTGTCTTTGCTATCCATCAACCCAACATCCAGAAACATGCTCATGTCCATGATTGGTAATGCATCCTGGGAAAAAAGGGGGTTGATCTCTATCTCGCGAAAGTCTGTCAGCTCTACGGCAGGGGTAGACACAGTCGAAGACGATTCTACGGCAGCCGTAATCACAGGCTGAAAATCGGGGATCGTCGTGGGGGTTGGGTCTACGTCGACGGACGGAAAAGCACAAATCGGAAGCACTACACCGGAAGTGGTAGAGGGGACGCTCGAACTCGAAGGTACTACACCGTCGGATCCGGTGGGCTGGACGTCTGCAGTCGAAGGTACAACGCCGGCCGGTGCGACGGACTGGAAGCCAGAAGTCGCAGGTACAACGCCGGCCGATGCGACGGACTGGAAGCCAGAAGTCGCACTCGCACTCGTGCCCGTTCCTGCACTCTGGAAAAGGGAAGGGGTGGCCGCAACAAATCCTGTGCCAATGCTAGGCGGGGACGCTTGGGCAGACACACGGGGAGGGGCATCGGGGCTAGAGGTCACAGCACGACCACAGTAATCTTGGGGCAATCGCATAGCCCAGAGCGAGCATCCTACGTCAGAGTGTGCGAAGGAAAGTCTACCATCAAAGAGATGTACGCCTGTCTCGTCAAGGACGATCCGTTGCTTACGCTGCGTGTGGTGCAACGAAAACAAGTTGAAAGTGATTCCGGGCACAACGTACACGTCCGACATTTGCACACAAAAATCACGCTCTCCTCCCTGGTCTTGCATGTGGAAAGCCATGTTGACCTTCCCCACACATTGTACGCGCAAATAGGCACCGTTGCCAACCTGAATGTACTCTTTGCCTGTCGGCACTGGCCTCAAGTCGAACATTTGATGACTACTGCTCACAAAAGTGTTCGTCGCACCGCTGTCGGCCCANTGCAAAAATCACGCTTTCCTCCCTGGTCTTGCATGTGGAAAGCCATGTTGACCTTCCCCACACATTGTACGCGCAAATAGGCACCGTTGCCAACCTGAATGTACTCTTTGCCTGTCGGCACTGGCCTCAAGTCGAACATTTGATGACTACTGCTCACAAAAGTGTTCGTCGCACCGCTGTCGGCCCAAAACTTCTCTCTACCAAAACGGGAAAGCGGGTTCTGCGCAGA